ATGGCTGGCTGGGGAATTCTGGGAGTTGAAGTCCACTCATCTTAAAGTGGCCAAGTTTGGACACTGCCTTACTGGGTCGTTTCCAGAATGCCTGCAGAAAAGGCAGAGTTTGTACTTTCAGGATGAGATGGTGGCCTAGCACAGGGACCACCCCCACAATTATGTAACTGAATTGGTATTGGGCTTGTGGAGCAGAGAACTGCTGAGGGGTGTGTGTGTGTGTGTGTGTGTGTAAAGTCAGTCCCTTCCTTCTGAGCTGCAGCGTCCTCCTTTTTTCAGGGTTCCTTAAAGGAAGAGCGGATGGATTTCTTACATGCAGAAGAAAAGCCTCTGGAAGCTATGAAGAGAGAAAACGGTGAGATGAAGATGGGAACATTGGGTAAAGATTCCCCTGAAATAACCAATGTTTTTCTTCTCTTTTCTTCTCTTTTCTCTTTTTTGCATTTGTGGCAAACTTAGGCTGGTGGAACCAAATGACTTGGGTCAGTTTTCTGGAAGAAGGGTTTTGGGTAAATGCAATTTAGCCTGCAGAGGAGCAAAATAGATGGATCAGTTCTGTCCTTGCGCTTGCTGTGTGTAAAGCAGTGTTTCTCAACCGTGGCAACTTTGTGGACATGTGTGGACGTCAACTCCCAGAATTCCCCAGCCAGCATGCTGGGAGTTGAAGTCCACACATCTTAAAGTTGCCAAATTTAAAAAAAACACCGCTGTAAAGCAAGGGCTTGATGCAGATCCAAGGATCTCATTCTCACTGGAATATACTCTGTTTTTCAGGAGGTGGTAAATCAGATACTGGCTCTTTTCTCTTGTGCCCAATTCTAAAAGTGGAGGTCTTTCACCCTCCTTTTCTTCTGCTCCTGTAAATCAGAAGAGACAGACCAACCCCCTGCCCCTTGTCTCCCTTCTATCATGGGGATTTGGTTCTCAAATCTTCTCCATTTACAGGTCTGAATGGAGGCAGGTGTTATTCTGGTGAGACAGAAATGATCAGTTAGAGATCTACGGGGTCCATTGAAATGAAGGCTCAAATACCAGGGGGATCCATTTGTGTGTGTAAGCAGGCCTCCTAACTAAGTGTTCCAGGAAGCAACTCAGATCTGTGTTAATGGTTCTTGGGCTTGGAGCAGGAAAGGTCCTCAATCTTGGGGTAATTGTCTCCTCCTCTTGACAGAGAACCAAGGCCATGTCTTTGCAGACAATGAAGCGGAGGCTGAGCGAGCCCGCCCAACAGACCAGGAGGAGGGTGGATACCTAGATCCTTTGGGTAAGGAGAGTTCCTCAAGCCCCACCTGTAAAGATCAGCCAATGTCATATTGGCTACCTGCAGAATAGGAAAAAAAAGTTGATTGTCCAAGTTCATGTCTGCTATGCTCAACTCTGACAAAGCAAGATGTATCTGAGTTTTAATCCGTTCCTGTGGTGGATTGCAGGAGAGAGCAAGGTTCTCAGGAAGGAGAGGGAACATTCTAGGAAGGGCAGAGAGACAAGAGACAACACAGTCCAGAGCAGGAGTGTGGGAAGTATAAGAAGTTTAGCCACTCCCTAGAATTTCCCAGGTATATCCACTAGTTGCAGTAGTACAGATTTAGTCTGGCAAGATTTTGTCTATATGGTGTAAGCCAGTGTTTCTCAACCTTGGCAGCTTTAAGGTCAGAATGCTAACTTCCAGATAATCCAGGGAGTTATACTTTCCTTTCTCCTCTCTCCTGCCTCTCCTTGCCTTCAGGTTTAACCTGCCCCTCTTGTCCCTGAATGGCCTGTGAAACCCAGGGTTGATTGTAATACTGTATGTTTGGAATGCCATTGTAACATTTCCAGCCTTTATTATCTGGATTTAGATTCGTCTAACTAGCAATTCACATGGTTATATGATAAAAGAAAGGAACTGATGGGGATCTAGAGAAAGAGAGAATTGTGGATGTTGTAGAAAAAACAAGACATCGAAAGAAAAACCTGATAAAATCTCTTCTCTTTCTCTCCAGATGATGGAAGACAGAGTGAAGTTAATGAAGAGAATTCATATTATGGAGGAAATGTGTTGGAAGAAAAATGTAGGACGACTCCACAGACAAGCTACAGGAATAAGGAAGAGAGAGCAGAAATGCAGGGGGAAGGAGCTGAGTCTGAAGACCAGCAGAGGACAGAGAGAGAGGAGAGAAAGAATGAATGTATAGAGTCGATTATCCAAAATACCAGTAAGTCCACTAAGGAAGAAATGCCTTTGTTCTCCAAATATGGTAGAAGATATCGCTATAGAGTAGAACTTGATGTGATCCATTCCAGTGAGGACTATGAAGAATGTCCCAATTCAGAGGAAAACTTCCAGCATAATTCCTCAGTTAGGCAACAGGAGAAAGCCAAAATAAGTGAGAAAAAGTGCACCTTCTTTGAGTATGGGAAAGGAAGTCACCATCAGGATGAAGAACCTAATAAGTCTTCTGAATATGAGAAAACCATTAGTTTTGCAGACTCACTGAACAGAATTCCAACATGTCCCACAGAAGGTAGACAGTATGAATGTTCTCAGTGTGGGAAATGCTTAAGTACAAGAAGAAACCTGAAGTTACATCAGAGAAGTCACACTGGAGAAAAGCCATACAAATGTTTTCAGTGTGGGAAATGCTTCAGTCAGGCTGGATGTTTGAAGACCCACCAAAGATTTCATACTGGAGAGAAGCCATACAAATGTTCTCAGTGTGGGAAATATTTCAGACAGGCAGGATATTTGAAGACTCATCAAAGATTTCATACTGGAGAGAAGCCATACAAATGTTCTCACTGTGATAAATACTTCAGTCAGTCAGGATATTTGAAGACCCACCAAAGATTCCATACTGGAGAGAAACCCTATAAATGTTCTCAGTGTGGGAAATGCTTCAGTACAGGAATAAACTTGAAGAGGCATCAGATGATTCATACTGGAGAGAAACCATACAAGTGTTCTCAGTGTGGGAAGTGCTTCAGGCAAGCAGGAAATCTGAAGAGCCACCAAAGAACTCATACTGGAGACAGACCATATAAATGTTCTTAGTATGGGAGATAACTCAATTGGCAATGGGATTAATGAAAATGAGAGTGGTATGAAACACATGAAAGTGCTATGTTTGGAAATAACTGAAACTAGAGAACAGTCATCGGAGATTCCATACGAGATTTGAGCAACTGTAGATAATCTAAATTCAAAATTAAAGGAATGTCAGTATTGTATAAATTCTTACATCAATCAGGCAGATTCTCTTTTAAGCTTCAAAAAACTTTGGGAAGTTGACTTAAACTTGACCATTTGCTTAGAGCTCTTTCTGGCATGGAATTCCTTTTCAATCTGTTTCAGAAAATCATTGCCTATTAAGATAACTTTTCTAGACAGAATGGAAACTTTAGACTGGGAAAAATAATTCAACAGTCTTCTTTAATTAATCCTGCAGTCTACAATTTATTTACCCTATCTTAAATGTTGGTGCAAGATAAAATAAAGTCTGTTGTTATTATTAGATATGTTATCGCAAAACTCTGGAACTCAAAGGGTTTAAGTTTTGCGGGAGGTGGTGGGGTGGGATCAGCAATATTTAGACGTGTGGGAAATTGCCACAGCTGAATGAATGCAGCAGTGAAGAGTTTTGAAGAACTGTATATTTAAGGAAAAGTTGATTCAGAATTTGTCACTATTTCTTAGCGATATTAATGTTTTTCCTCATAGATTACCTTTGCATATAGAAATATCTTTTGGGCTACAAATATTGGGTATGAGTGTTTAAAATTTTTGTATTTGTATTTTGTATTTTATCTTTTATGTATTCATAAATAGATAGATGGTTATCTACCTTAAAAGGGTATCTATTTATCTGCTGAGTGTTAGCTTTGGTTCTTGATTGCATTTATTACCCATCTTTTGGTCAATTCATTCTGTCTGTGTGTGTGTGTGCGCGCGTTTAATTTTTGTTAATTGTTTCAGTAAAAAAGCAAAGACAGAGAATGATTCCAAAGAGGAGAGCTTTCAAATGTGCAGAAATAAATCCCCACCCCACCCCACCCCAAGCTCAGGGATCACAAAGACATTTATGAATCTCCCCAGGGCAGGAAACTTTTTGTTCATTAAAATGCAATGATGGAGAACCTTCCAGTTAAGAGCACAGAGGGGGTAGAGGAGACCAACTGTCTGATGCGCTTTGCTTGGATACGTAATGTGTTTGAGAGGAACTTCTGCTGCTGGGGCTGATTTAAGATGTGGTAGTGGCTACCAGCTTGGATGGCTTCAGAAAGGTGTTGGATCAATTCATGGAAGTCCTGGAGATCACTGGCTATCAGCCTTGAAGGCAGGGCGGCTGCCTCTGAAGGCCATCTGCTGGGAGACCAGTGGGCTTCCTGGTGCAGGTGGTGGGCCACTGGGAGAAGAGACTGCTGGGCCAGGGGTCCAATCCAGCAGGGCACTACTTAGGTTCTTAAGGAGATGTTGGAGGGAAATGAGACAGATCAAACCTACGGAAGTAGCTTGCTAATTCTGGAAGCATTTGCAAAAAACAGTGAGTAAACAAGAAGAGCCAACACAGAGCTTCATATGGCAAATTAAACAACCCCTGATAGAGGTGATAGATGAGGCGCCATAATCTTTGGGGCATAATCTTTAATTTTCTTTTAATTTTTATTTATTTATTTATTTATTTTCAAGTTTATATATCCCGCCCATCTTGCTGTACAAGTGACTCTAGTCGGCGTCACGAGTAAAAAACGATAGAATCTTAGGAAACATACAAGTTCAAAACTACAAAAGGTTAAAACGAAAACTAAAAGTTAAAACGGCAGTACACATTAAAACTAAAGGAGCAGAGAGAGCATCGTCAAGTTACCCACCACCCCCAGTGCTGCGAGTAATTGGGGTAATTGCTTTCCAACCAACTAAAAGTGGCTGCTGAAGACCCCAACGGGGTGTGGGCTCAAGGACTCTCCTAACCCCAGTGCCCGGGAAAACAGCCAGGTCTTCAAAAGGTGTGCAGAATCGGGACCAACCTAACCTCAGGTAGCAAGGTGTTCCAGAGGGGAGGCCAACTCCAGAAAAGGCCCATCTCCTGGGTCCTGCTAGATGACAATCCCTAATTGATGAGACCCAGAGCACGTCCCTCCACCCAGCCTAATGGGGCAGGTAGAAACAATGCAAACAGGATGCTTCCTCAGATACCTGACCCTAGGCCATGTAAGGCTTTCTAGATAATAACCAGCACCTTCAATTCCACCCGAAAATTGTATTTCAGGGCTTATCCATGGCTCTTTTCAACTGCACTGGGTGAGATGTAACAGGGCTCAATCCTGCACTCTATAATCTTCCATTTTTTTTTTAACTTAATGACTTTGACGAAGAGGGGGATGAAATGCTGATCAGATTTGAGGATGACGCAAAATAGAGTGGGAGGGCTAATGTCCTAAGATAGAAATAAAATTCAGAACAGTCAAGGGCTGGAAATAATGGAATACAATGTAAAATGTATCAGCTCGTTTCCTAAGTAAGTTTTCAGCCCATTTCCTAAGCAACTTCTTTAATTAAGAAACAGAAATGCGCATATGGAAGAATGGGGAATGTCTGGTTTGGTAATATTACTTCTGAAACATCTCTCAGAACAGCATTGACTGTAAATAAGTCAACAATGTAGGATGGCTACAAAATAGGACAATGTAACCTTAGGCTGCATCAAGAGAAGAAGAGTTTCTACATTATGGGAAGTGATTGTTCCGTTTTATTTCACTTTGGTCAGACCACACATGAAGTGTTCAGTTCTGGGTACTACCCTTAAGAAGGAACAGGAACAGGTTCAGAGAAGTGCTAAAGAGGATGAGCAGGGACCAGAAACTAAATTTTAGGCAGAGAAATGGAAGGAATTAGAAAGTTAGCCTTGAGAAGAGAATTGTGTGACCAAGTAATACAGTAATCTTCGGGTTACGACAGCAACCGTGACCGCGTTTGCCGTTGCTAAGCAATGGCTTGCAAAGCGTGACGTCACATGACCACACTGCTTAGCGACAACAATTCCAGTAGTCCCAGTTGCCGTCGTAACCCCAAGATATGCGGGTCATTAAGTGGGAAGTGGTGGGAGTCCCAGGTA